GAATAGTGGGCCTGTGTTGCCAAGTTTAGACCCAAGTATAACGGTTACAACTTCTAAAATGTTGTTACTGTCTACAAGAGAATATCAGTTGAAGATGGTCGGTGTGATGAAAACAAAATCTATGTGAAATAGTATAAATCTGTTAAGTGGATAATGAAGATGAATGGCAATTATTTCATACAAAAAGTCACAATCATCTCATAAATTATGTCACCCTCTCTGACATTCAATCCTTCGGCTGAGTAATAAATGTTACCTATTTATTTTCTTCCACGGAATCTCAAAGACACAATTCTTTACTTAACTAAAGACCTGAGCAACTTAGTGACTATCAGCTGATAAAAGAAGACCACGTGCCAAAAAATCGAATATGCCTACTTGATTACTCTTCTATAAAACAGCCCTGAAAATTACAAAGATGGCTTTCTTCTAGGTTGTGGTAATAGGTCATCAACGATGATGATCACCCTGATTATGGAGGCAGAAGAGACTACTGAGACGTTGGTAAACTTCTACCCAGACGACAGCCATCTTCGTAGTTACCACCGTGAAAACCTCAAACTCTACAATTCCGTCAAACTACATTCCTACAATGTGTGTTACTGTCAAATACTGCTGAATCCAACTAGTCATAAATTCTTCACGACACTCTCTTAAGAAGATTTCGCTATTGAAAATATGTACGTTCCATTGCATATACAAAACGAAGTAAAAGACAACGAATTTCGGCAAAACTGACTGGAGTGGACACCGAGAACGACATGCTCTGTTAAAAGTGTTTTGGATTCACGTACCGGCTGACATATTAACGCTACGTCGCTCGTTACGGTCCAACACTCAGCTTCCACACTTTTTCGATGTCTTTCTTGCAAGCTACGATGTTTCTGATAGTACACGTGCTACTGCAAGTGAGCAGCCTCTTCAAGACTCTTCCTTCCCGGAGATGACTGTCTTCTGGGTTGTAGTGCCGTCTAGTAAAAGTTGGCCGACGTTTCAGAGATGCTTACTGCCTCGACCACGAGGGCAATGGGTGATCCAGAAGACATCTATCATATTTGACGCTGTAAGAACCTGAAATATCCTCCTCCACCTTCTCGTTATTCTCCATGGTCTACTTTACCGTTTGCTTTTTATTCTACTTGTTTTACGTTTCCTTCTACTGGAATATAATTTATTGGAACAAAGAGGTTTCAGGAGGGGCTGTTCAACACATGATATTTTCTTCATTGAAATAGATTGTCGAAAAAGTAACAGAATATAATCAACAGACACATCTAACATTCATAAATTTAGAAAAGAAACTGTTGATCATGTAGACGAAATCTATAGCAAATAATGGGAAAAGATGGGATGCCCAAAACATTTAATATGTTCCATTGAAATTTTGTATAATGAGGACAGAGAACGCTGTAAAATATTCTGGAAAATAACAAACGAGTTAGAAAGGGTTTAAGCTCAACTCCCACTTTCTTTAACTTACATAGAAAATATAATCTGACAATGGAAAGCGAGAACAGTTAGCTCCTGGAATATATCTTGGGCGAGAATGAGATCTAAACATTTTATTATATGCAGATGATCAAGTAATCAACAGAGATAACGAAAATGAGCTTCAAAGATCGGTTTTTAGATTATAAGAAATATTCCATGAATATAATGAATTTAAAGATGTCGAAACAGAAAAATTGTCGTTTCTTTTGTAAAAAGACACTATAGGAACAAAAACTGTAATAGAAGAGGGAAGTTTCGTCCACTAACGTTTTATCTCATTAATGTAGATATTTCTTGAGCAGCTGAAAGCATTTAGGCTGATTTAGATTAACCTACTTTTACTTAAGGAACTCAAAATTTCATTAACGAGTATAAAATCCTATCACTTTTTCCTATAATGAGCAGTTACATTCAGTTCAAATCTTCACGCTTTCTGCAGTCTGCCAAGGAAAGTCTTCACTTCAGATTTGGGGTAAAGGCGACTGGAATTTTAAAGTGACCAATCATTTCCATCCACTACCAAGACTGATAATCCACGGAGACTTGCCACGACTTTACCACTGTAATGTCATATCCTGACTAGTCACATTGATATGTAATCGTATTATGTGTCCCTCCTCATGAAG